CAGATCAACTCACAGGTAGTATTTGCCATTGCACGATACTCAGCTTCTGCACTAGATCGGGAAACAACAGGTTGTTTCTTGCTTTTCCATGAGATTAAGTTTCCTCCGAAGAAGACACAATAACCAGAAGTAGAGCGTCTGTCCGAGGGTGATCCTGCCCAATCGGCATCTGAGTAACCACAAATTTCTGTATTTCCCTGATCCGAATACAACAAACATTTTCCTGGTGCTCCTTTGATGTATCGGAGGATCCTCACAGCAGCATCCCAATGTGAATCACAAGGGGAATCAAGGAACTGACTGGCCGTACTGACAGCGAAAGAAATATCTGGCCTAGTCACAGTAAGATAATTGAGCTTCCCAATCAGCCTTCGATAACGTCCAGGATCAGATAACGGCTCCCCCTGTCTGGGCAATAACTTAACATTAGGATCCATGGGTGTATCAACTGGTTTACATCCCAACATACCAGTCTCCTCTAGGATATCCAAGGCATACTTCCTTTGACAGATAGAAATGCCCTGTCTAGATTGCGCCACCTCAATTCCCAAGAAGTAACGCAGCTTCCCAAGGTCCTTTGTTTGAAATGCACTAAATAAATGTTGTTTTAACTGATGGATTCCGTCTTGATCACTTCCGGTGAGGATGATGTCATCAACATAGACTAACAAATAGATGCACTTGTTAGGAGATGTAATCCTATAGAATACAGAATGGTCAACTTTACTGCGAATTAGGCCAAACGCCTGTACAGCAAAACTGAAGCGACTGAACCATGCTCGAGGAGACTGCTTGAGACCATATAAGGATTTCGAAGACGACATACCTTCCCAGACTCCCCCTGAGCAACAAAACCAGGTGGTTGCTCCATGTAAACTTCTTCTTGTAAATCACCATGAAGAAAGGCATTTTTGATGTCAAGTTGAAGGAGTGGCCAGTGACGAACAACAGCAAGGGCAAGAAATAGGCGGACGGACGCCATCTTAGCGACTGGAGAGAATGTATCGCTATAATCAAGGCCAAAGATTTGAGTAAAACCCTTGGCAACTAGGCGTGCCTTGAGACGATCAACATGGCCATCAGGTCCAACTTTTACAGTAAACACCCAGCGACAACCAACTATAGACTTCTCTGGAGGAGCAGAAACAAGGTCTCAAGTGCCATTGGTATGAAGTGCGGTCATCTCATCAAGCATCGCTTGGCGCCATCCTGGATGGGAAAGTGCTTCAACTGTGGTCTTAGGAATAGAAACAGAAGAAAGACTAGAAACAAAGGTGAAATGAGGAGGAGAAAGGCGATCATAGCTCAAGAAGGTATAAAGAGGATAAGGGTTACGAGTAGTACGTGTACCTTTTCTTTGAGCAATGGGAAGAGCCTCTGGTGAAGGATCCGGAGGGGAAGAATCAACTGCAGAGGGCAATGAGTCAGCAGGGGTCGAGTCGACTGGAGGTACTGTCTTACGACGCTGATAAGTGAGAAGTGGACGGTCCTCAGGTACGGGAGCAATAGGTGATTGCTTATCTGGAGTAGAAGCACCTGCATCTGGCAAAGACAAGTCAAGAAAAGGAACAGGAAGAACATGATCAACCTGTGACAATGGAGATGGGATAGAATTAAAGGGTTGTTGATCAAAAAAGGTGACATCCGCGGAAACTAAGTAACGCTTGAGGTCAGGAGAGTAACAGCGATAACCCTTTTGAAGACGAGAATAACAAAGAAAAATGCATTTAAAGGCTTTGGATGTTAACTTATCCTTACCAGGAGTGAGATCATGAACAAAACAGGTACAACCAAAAACATGTGGGGATAAAGGAAAGAGAGTAACATCTGGAAACAATAAGTTATGAGGAATATCATTATTAAGCACAGATGAAGGCATGCGGTTGATGAGAAAGCAAGAAGCAAGGACTGCATCAGCCCAGAAACGAAGAGGAACATGCATGTGAATAAGAAGAGTCCTGGCAATCTCAATGAGATGTCTATTCTTACGTTCAGCTACTCCATTTTGTTGTGGAGTGTGAGGACAAGTGGTTTGGTGTAAAGTACCCTGTGTGGCTAAGAAATGAGAAAAGTCAACAGAAACATACTCCTTAGCATTATCACTACGTAAAATACGAATAGAAGCACCAAATTGAGTATGAATTTCAACAGAAAACTTTTGATAAATAGAAAACAACTCAGAACGGTTTTTCATTAAATAAATCCAAGTACAACGGGAGAAATCATCAATAAAGGTGACAAAATACCGAAAACCTAAAATATACACACTACGATTAGGACCCCAAACATCTGAATGAATAATTGAAAAAGGAGCATCAGCTCGTTTATTGACTCGATTAGCAAAGGAGGAGCGTATGTGCTTTCCTTGCTGACATGACTGACAATCTAAAGTTTGAAGACCGGATAAAAGAGGAACCATCTTCTGCAATTTCGCAAGACTAGGATGCCCGAGACGACTGTGGATGAGCTGTGGAGATTCTGTGAGAGAACAAGCAACTGAAGGACTCGGCACATCAAGGTAGAACAGACCCCGAGACTCACGGCCCACTCCAATCATCTTCCCCGTACCCGGGTCCTGCACAGAAACAGAATGGTTTGAGAATGTGACAATACAATTAAGAGAATTGATCAATTTACTAACCGATATTAAATTATAAGGGATGTGAGGGATGTAATAGACAGATGTCAAGGTCAATGAGGAGGTTGGACAGATTTGTCCAATCCCATGAACGGGGGCCTTAGTTCCATCAGCAAGAGTAAAAGAGGGTAAATTATTAGAATATGTAAGGGAAGAAAAGAGTTCCTTAGTACCACAGAGGTGATCAGTAGCACCTGAGTCAAATATCCAAGGACCAAGTGATGCAGAATGAGAAACACAAGCAACAGGATTACCAGTTTCTGAAGCAGAGGCCTGAGATTGAGGAGAGGACTTCCTGAGAAGGACCTGGAATGCTGCATATTCTTCACAGGAGAGAGAGACTGAACCATTTGAAGCAGTATCCGATTGAGCTACATTAGCAGCAAAAGAAGGTCGCATGTGAGGATACTTTGTGTAGCAGCGTTCCTCATAATGACCAAGTTGCTGACAGTAATGACAACGAGGTCGCTGACCACGTCCGACTGGACCTCCTGGGCCTCCTGGGCCACGACATCCTGGGCTACGTCCTCCTGGGCCTCCTGGGCCCCGGCCTCCTGGGCCTCTACCACGTCCACCTCCAATATGCCCGCGAAAATCAGTACGGGAAACTAGAGCAGTAGAATCAACAGCAGAAGACGATGCAGGAGCAGATTTCTTATTCAAATTCAGAAGACGCTGATACGTCATGGATAGATCAGGCTCCCCACTAGTCAAGATAGTATCACGAACATTATCATATTCTTCGGGAAGGGCAGAAAGTGTGGCAACCATAAAGAGACGTTCCACCTGTTTCCGATATGCAGTAGCATCAGTAGGGTAAGGCAGCATATCCAAATATGCCTGCATCAAAGAGCGACTCTTGCCAATATATGTCTCCATCTGAATGTCGGATGATTTGCTCAATTCCATAAACTGAGAGATGATGAAATAGAGCTGCTGAACATCATTAGTGTAGAGGTTTTTTGCTTCCTCCCACACTTCAGTGCAAGTTTGAAATGAATAAAAGATATCCAAGACAATCGGATCAATGGATTGCCAGAGGATACTCAGAAGCTGGTTGTCAATCTTTTCCCAATCAGACTTGTCCTCCTTAGGGACATCAGTAGACTTAGTTGTGAGATGGTTCCCATATCCTTGTCCAAAGAACCAAACTCGAACAGAGGTGGCCCAGTTCTTGTAATTAACAGATCCCTTCAATTTTGAAGAGGTAATGGACCCAATATTGGTAGAGATGATATTGGGAGAATTTCTCAGAGGAGGAGATGGAGACTTGACCTCCGAATGAATTGGAGGGTTTGCTGCCATAGTATCAAATCACAAAGATACAAACCGAATAAAGAGAAACGAACCTGATCACCAATCAAGAAGAGGTGCGCACAAAAAGTCAGACCCACAAAGAACCAACCACAGATCCAGAAAGAGGAGGAGAAGACGAGCTTCTCTGTCCAAGACCGGCCGGAAAAAGCCGCCGGAATAGTGCTCACGCGTCGGCAGAAGGTGGCGCGTGAAGCCCACGCGCAGAGAAGACTGGAGGCGCGTGAGAGCGCGTGACAACTCCGATGGTGGCCGGACTTCCACAGAGCAGGTCGCCGGGAGGAGAGGGTTCTGTTCACGTTCGTTCCAGACTGAAAACTCGCCGGAAAAGTACTCCGGCAGCCTGAACAGTGGCTGACGGTGGCTGATGGTGCTCCGGTGACTGTTTGGGGATGTGGACACGTGCAGAAGATGCCTGGAGAGGACTTACAGCCCTTGATGTCTTACCGGAAGGACGCACGGCAAAGAAAAGATGACTCCTAAGCAGTGGGCTTAGGTTTTAAAGCGAAGAACAAGATTTCTAAGCGGAAGCGAGGGTTCCCAGAACGAAATAGCTCTGATACCAAGTTAAATGTAAAAGAATACGTTATGTATTGATCTGTGTCAGGGAGTTACAATATATAGAGACCCTAATGGGCTTAAGTGTAAGGCCCAAACCTAATCCAAACCTAATCCTAATACAGTCAGAATACAGTCAGACTATTTACGGATAAGACAGAATCCAATCATATCTAATCAAATCTAATCATATCATATCTAATATTCTAACAGCGTTAAAGCGAAGGAAGGCTTCATAGTCAGCACTCAGAATGGCCAGAGTAGGAGCAGAAGAAGCTGCCTTAGTTTGGGCAAAATTATCCATCCCATTGGAATGGTTTACAGAACATGAGGAAGAATGCTGAATTGAGGTCTAAATACATCGGAAAAAGTGCCAGAAAGAGCTAGAATGCTTGAAAAAGTGCCGAAAACACCAAGAACAATTGGCCGAAGATAAAAAAAATCCCTGAGGAGGGTGTAGTGCATGAATCTGTGAAGGATCGGGTGTAGACGGAGCTTGTAAGCGCTCTCACGTGCCAGAACAAGATTGAAGGGTTGCAATATGTGTGAAGGAGTTTGGCTGCAAAACCAACGTGGGTAAGCCAGACTTGAGCTGCTTCAAATCCGATAAAAACTGCCCCAAAAAATCACCTGAAGATTTTTGGATGGCTGGAAAAATTTTCTGATGCGTTGAAAATGCAGGACTACAGCCGGAAGGTGACGTTGAACAGCCAAACAAACGGGTCCTTAGAAGAAATGCATGGAAATGTAAGGCATAATGATAGACTATGCAGTGTTGTCTCATCTGTAGTTGTGGTCGTTTGTGGTTTGCAGCCTAGAATTCTGCTTGTCAGATGAGTGGATGAGGAGAAATGGGTGACGGATTCCAGTAGAAGGGTTGCAAAAAATGTTGGTCACGTTGGTCCAAAAGTGTCACGAAGCTCTCACCAGTGAGTTCATTGGCCTGAGATGCAATGAAATCTTGGCACAATGCAAGGAATTCTTGGTGCAATTGTGCAACGGTGGCAGCCGTATCACTAGCTAGTGCTAGTTGCCATACATCTTGGAATTGGTTGTCCTGTTCTTAGAACAGGTGGAAGGCGTGATGGTTGGATGAAAGAACCAGTTATTAAGTGAATTTTTAGCTGTTGACAGAATTGACAAGGGAAGACAGAGGAGAAGGGAAAGCATAGTTATCAAATGCGGATAGCGGCATGTCGCGGCCAACCCCGAAAAACGCTATAGCGTTATAGCGAGTTGCGGTTGCAGAAATAGCGGAATAGATATATGACAAAAATAAACATTTTTTAAAGGAAGAGATAGCAGAAGTGACAGAGACAGACGCGGATAGACTAAAAAACCCTTAAATTTTATCTGTTACACATTTAAATTTAGGATAAAATTGACATTTTGCCTTATGACAGCAATATGGCCTCAAATGCAATCACAATGGCCGTTATTGCATTCTGCTGTGGCGCGGCGGATTTCTTGCGGCGAGGCACCGCAACGCCCATACGGCGCGGCTCGCGGCACTATTGCGGCGCAATTAACTACTATGAGGGAGAGAGGTGCAAATGAGACTTTGATCGGGAGAGAAGAGACTCAGAGGTGTAATTGCTTACTTTCAATGTAGTCAGTTGGCTTTCTTATAGCTGATTACATATTGTTCCAGCAGATTAAGATAAACTAATAACTAATTTGAATCTAACCAACAAATAACATAGTTTGAGATAAACTAACTAATTAAGATAAACATAAACTAATTGATTAAGACAAACTAACTGAGATAACATAATTTGAAATATAACTAACTTATTCAGATAAATTAATTGAGATAACACCATTTGCAATATAGCTAACGTAATTTGAAATATATTAGCTTGGTTTTGGCCCTTTTTTTTCACCGGAAATAAACTTCCAGTCCTTGTGACGTAACACTACATAGGTAACAAGTTTGGTATATATGACCTCCAACTTGAGGGAGAGTGTTAGAAACCATGTAAATAGTACCTGGGTTCATTGAATAGACTAACCAGAATCATGTATCTATGGTTGTTAGGATAGCAGAGATATTTGTCATTATTATTTTTTAGCTATATAATCCAGAATCCAATGTATACTCCAGACACAGATTTCAACAAATGATTCTCGCTTCCTCCTTCCTTAACAGGAATGGTTTCATATTACATCTCTAACAAGAACACTGCCGATGCGAGTGCTACTTGCATAGGTTCTTTGGTTGAGTTGAGGTGAGTTGTTTCAAATCTTGCCATTTTTTGTTTGTTTATTTGTCACAAGCTGAGAGCTTAGTAAGCTTCAACTTGAGGAGGAATGTTAGAATACTATCTAGATCCATTGGCATATTTAGCACATTAGCATATTAGCACACTGTAATTGCAACTGTAGTTATAGCTGTTAATTACATCTGTAATTTGTTGAGATATATAGTCCTACATTGATTGTGTGGGCAACTAATGTGGCCTTTATAAGGCCTTGGGCACTCCTACCCTTTGAGCTAGCTTTTGGGGTGGTGTATCTCAAGGTTCTTTACATGGTATCAGAGCCTCGCCGTCCCCCACTTTCTCTTGTGGAGTTTCTTAGCACAGGTAGGCTGAGCCTGTTGCATTGTCCACCCTTCAAGCCCAAAGGGCTCTTGTGTGAGGGGGCGTGTTGAGATATATAATGTGGCCTTTATAAGGCCTTGGGCACTCCCACCCTTTGAGCTAGCTTTTGGGGTGGTGAACTCAAGGTTCTTAACATACACCCAAGGTTCTTTAACATGGTATCAGAGCGTTCGAAATCTCACCGCCTCTCACTTTCTTTGTAGTGGAATTTCCACATGTAGGTGGGCTTGTATGTTGTCCACCCTTCAAGCCCAGTGGGCTCTTGTGTGAGGGGGCGTGTTGAGATATATAGTCCCACATTGGTTGTATGTGCAACTAATGTGGAGTTTATAAGGCCTTGGGCACTCCCACCCTTTGAGCTAGCTTTTGGAGTGGTGTATCCCAAGGTTATTTATATGGTATCAGAGCCTCGCCGCCCCCCACTTTCTCTTGTGGCGTTTCTTAGCACAGGTAGACTGGGCCTGTTGCATTGTCCACTCTTCAAGCCCAATGGGCTCTCGTGTGAGGGGGCGTGTTGAGATATATAGTCTCACATTGATTGTGTGGGCAACTAATGTGGCCTTTATAAGGCCTTGGGCACTCCTACCCTTTGAGCTAGCTTTTGGAGTGGTGTATCCCAAGGTTCTTTATATAGTATCAGAGCCTAAAAGGGCTCTTGTGTGAGGGGGGTGTTGAGATATATAGTCTCACATTGATTATGTGGGCAACTAATGTGGCCTTTATAAGGCCTTGGACATTCTCACCCTTTGAGCTAGCTTTTGGGGTGGTGTATTCCAAGGTTCTTTATATAATTAATCCCTGATTGCTTCAAGTACTTAATGCACTCATAGTACAAATAAGATGAACAATGTGTGAACAAGATATACAGTTTCTCCCAAGCACCGTCAGTTTCAACATACACCACAACATAAAAATATAAAATAGAATTACACTGAAGGTCTCCTTTTACATAGGAAGTTAAAGAGCAAGTAGAGTATCGTGCATTATTTATAATCGATATATACAAAAGTAGCATGTTCAGAAGACCTCATGGTAAACTAATAGAAGCAGCAGTACAAATTAAAACTAGTAAATACAATTCCAGTTGCAGGGGAAAAAAAGTTAGTGAAGTTAAGAACAAATAGGTTAAGAGTAATTCTTATAATTACCTAAAGTATCAAATACAGATCCCAACTTGCCAGTCCGAGCAGGTCTAATACTTGAAATATATTTCCTGAAATGGTAGCATAACAAATTGTGTAAGGTGAGCTGGAACAACCTTTAATATATCATACGATATTGAAATGGGGCTAAAAACGGCAGAAAATAAAACAGAATCAGAAGCAAACCATCCAGTTGAGTTGCGGCGTTCATAATTCTTTATCGTATCTTCCAATTCAAGGGCTTCTAATACATAAGTCATATACTCACTGCAAGAGCAACATTATAAGCAAAATTCTGAGAGACCTAGTTGAAAGGATGTGAGAAAAGTAAGAACAACAAGAAGATAATCAAGCTGCCAAATATATCCAGTCAATAGACTGTTGTGGAAGTGCCAGACAATGCCAATGAGAAAAAAGAAGTAATAACTAATCATTAGCTTTTATGGATTCTAAACATTGAAATAATTGAGTATGTGAAATGTTTTCTTTCTATGACCTGAACTCTTCGATGCTCATCCTACAGGTGGCAAGAAGAAATATATTTCCTCACCGGATACCATCAGTGCGCCAACATTTACAAGGTCTTTCTTATTAATAGAAGCTAGGATAGGCAGGAAAGCTAAAACTGATCATAGGTGAATAGTTAAAAAGAAAATAATAACAAAGTGATGTGCGCGGACCATTTCAGAGAGAGAATTTTAATATTAATCTAATCAATAAACAGTAGGCATTGTCATTAACATGAACAAAATAAACGCATATTGCTTTATTAGGTGTTTATCCTCCTTGGAAGAATATAACAATTGAATTTACCATTCACAGATGCTGTAAAGGATTCAAGTACAATTTTTTGAATAACCCCACTTAAAAGACTAAGCTGATCATTTGCTTACCTTTTATACCTGTAGTACTCCTCAGTAGCTCCCCGAAGATGGCGTCTTAGTGTTGCCATTGACTTCTCATCAGTATCATAATCCATATCATTTCCCCCAAATCGGCCACCTTGTGGTTTGAAGGATGGGTCTTCCCTAAACTGGAAACTTGAAGGTTATATCCAAACAAAGATCCAAGTTCCGTAATCAGAATCTTTAATCTAGGAATGTAAGCTCAATACCATTTGAGTTAGCATATCATCAATTACATCCATGTAAGGTCTTAGAGGATCACGCTTGGACATCTGGTTGGATGTGGCTTGAGCAACCTATAGAAATAAACCATCATTAAACCTCAAGATTTTTTATTTTTTTGTTGGGAAGGGGATCAGGTTTTAAAAACAGGGTTACTCTAAAGTTCAACTAAATTGTATAGAGCCATTTCTATTTTGCATCTTCCCCATACCCACATAAGCAAAGAAAAAAGTAATGCACATGAGATCTTCCACAAAAAGAAACTGATCAAGTCCCAAATTACATTCTTATGGACATAGAGACAATTCGTCTTCAAGAGATAGTTCTTACTAGAACACCAAAACACTAATGAAAAGTAATACTTCACCGAAAATGGCAAAAGACATCTAAAATTGATGGAGTCACCCTGAAACTGGGATGTCCTTCACCAACACTTTCCTTAAAAACTTGCAAAAATTAGCCACAAACAACTTATCAGTATTCTTGATAAGAGACAAAATCGTACCAAGAGAAGGGCAGGAGCAAGGCATCAGATGCCAAACTCAATTCAGCTTCATGAATGCAGAATTTCATGATTCCAAATTACCTACATAATGCCACCCTGCTATGTCTATAAGTTTCAAAATTATTGTATTTCCAGTGTGTCCAGAAATTAAACATAAGCCAACTGGATTTGGGGAAGACAACTTAGGTTATGTTAGGATATATAATGATGGGTGGAATAGAATGAGATGTGATAAGATGGAATGGAAAGGAATGAAATGGGATGGCATGGAGTAAAATTCCCAGACCATTGTTTGGATATTTTACAATGGAATAGAGGAAAGTTTCCATTCTATTGTTTGGGAAATAAGTGGAATGGTAGAAAAATTAGTAAACAATAAGTTGGATCCATTCCATCCTATATCTCGCAAATCAGGGAGAAGTAAAATAGAAGTAATGGATGGAATGGGACTGAATGGATTCCATCATGTTCCATTCCATTCCACCCAATTTTATACAATACAAACAATAGTAACTAATGTCATTTCATTCCATCCCTTTCCATCAATCCAAACACAGCCTTAGGGGGACGGGTATCATTGTAAGTTTATTATTAGAATAAGACTCAAGTCACAAATCAAGAAAAATTAGTTCTTATTTTATTTTGCTTGCAAGGAAGAGATTAACAAAATTTTCAAGCTTGCATACGCTGACTGCGAAAACAGAAAAGATAAAAATTAAATACTAAAAAAGAAATTTTACTGACAACATGTATGGTGGACCACTCACAACAATAGCATTTGAAAGTTCTTCGTGAGCATCATCAAGACCGACAGCCATTTTAGCAATTTTGTGGGAAAGAACTTTCTGGCGAGTGGTCCAGTCAGCATTTCTCCAAACTCTTTTGGGAATTTCACTTAAACCAAAGCCAAGAAGAAATGCACCAGTAACAAGTCCGAAAGTATTTGAGCAAGCCATGGCTAATCCTGAAAAACTTCCACTCCTGTTCATAGAAGAATCAACCAACTAGAAACTATTTATAAACAAAGTGGGGCTTCACTTGAAACCAGAAAACAAAGTATACACATACAAAAGAAAAGAAGGTTTATTGCATGTTCAAAAACCATGACAATCAGGTCAAAGAATATAAAGTAACTGGGCAGAAGGCAGGCATTTAGGTGTCCTTGACTTGAAAAACTGTACAAGCTATTGATTCAGCATACTAAAAAGATGTGACTTATATGTACTTTTGTAAATCCAGGACTTTCCAAAACGTCCCCATGGCTTTTCCATATGTGTTGAAAGTTGAAACCCTGGGACTACTTGGTTACCATGATCTGTGATTCAACTTTATTTGTTAGAGAATAATATAAACCATTAAAAAGGCCCTCACCCAACACCTTAAGGTTTTGGGTTGAAATGGTTCTTTACATTATATTAGAGCTTCAGTGACCACAAAGTCACGAGTTTGATCCTCACCACCTCCCACTAGTGGAATTAAATTAGCATAAGGTAAACCAAAAATTGGGCCTATGCAATAATCCACGCTTCAAGCCTAAAGGGCTCTTGTGTGAGAGGGTGTGTTAGAGAATAATATAAACCATTAAAAAGGTCCTCACCTAACACCTTAAGGTTTTTGGTTGAAATGGTTCTTTACATTACTGTTATAAACACAATCTTGGCAAAATGTCAAATTGGGTTCCTAAAAATGTCCTTAGAGTCAATGTGATAGCCTCTAATACTAAACGCAAAGATGTCAACAAACTACATGCGTTGAATAAAAATCTCACTTGCAAATAAATGCATGCCTTTACAGATGTCAGATGTCCCATAAAAAATGGTTTAAACAAATCCTCATTATTCACAAACAGAAAAGCAAGAGAAAGAGAGTTTGATGTATCTATAAGGCACAAAGTTTTGGAATATAACAGTCATGTCGAAGTACGCAGCCACTTGAATATAAAATAATATGTTGTGTATTGATCTAATTCAGAGAGTTACAATATATAGAGACTCTAATGGGCTTATATGAAAGGCCCAGACCTAATACAATCAGAATAATTACAAACTCTAATCATATCTAATCAGACTAATCATATCTAATCATATCTAATATGTTCTAACACTCCCCCTCAAGCTGGTGCGTATATTGTGAGCACCAAGCTTGTTACAAATGTATTGAACCCGAGGACCTCTAAGAGCTTTAGTGAAGACATCCGCTAGTTGATCAGAGGAGTTGACAAAAGCAGTCTTGATTTCTCCTGATTGAATCTTTTCTCAAATGAAGTGACAATCAATCTCTATATGTTTGGTCCTCTCATGAAAGACAGGATTAGAGGATATATGTAGCGAGCTTGATTATCACAGATGAGTGTCATGGGTTGTTTCTGTTCACAAAGATGAAGCTCCTGAATCAACTGCTTTAACCAGATTAACTCACAGGTAGTATTTGCCATTGCACGATACTCAGCTTCTGCACTAGACCGAGCAACTACAGGTTGTTTCTTGCTCTTCCACGAAATTAAGTTTCCTCCAAAGAAGACACAATAGCCGGAAGTAGAGCGCCTGTCCGAGGGTGATCCTGCCCAATCAGCATCTGAATAACCACAAATTTATGTATTTTCCTGATCTGAATACAACAAACATTTTCCTGGTGCTCCTTTGATGTATCGGAGGATCCTCACAGCAGCATGTCAATGTGAATCACAAGGGGAATCAAGGAACTGACTGGCCGTACTAACAGCGAAAGAAATATCTGGCCTAGTCACAGTAAGATAATTGAGCTTCCCAATTAGCCTCCGATAACGTCCACAATATCAGATAACGGCTCCCCCTGTCCGGACAATAACTTGACATTAGGATCCATGGGTGTATCAACTGGTTTACTCCCCAACATACCAGTTTCTTCGAGGATATCCAAGGCATACTTCCTTTGACAAATAGAAATGCCCTGTCTAGATTGCGCCACCTCAATTCCCAAGAAGTAACGCAGCTTCCCAAGGTCCTTTGTTTGAAATGCACTGAATAAATGCTGTTTTAACTGACGAATTCCGTCTTGATCACTTCCGGTGAGAATGATGTCGTCAACATAGACTAACAAATAGATGCACTTGTCACGAGATGTAATCCTATAAAATACAGAATGATCAACTTTACTGCGGATTAAGCCAAACGCCTGAACGGCATAACTGAAGCGACTGAACCATGCTCGAGGAGATTGCTTGAGACCATATAAGGATTTTCGAAGACAACACACTTTTCCAGACTCCCCCTGAGCAACAAAACCAGGTGGTTACTCCATGTAAACTTCCTCTTGCAAATCACCATGAAGAAGTTGAAGGAGTGGCCAGTGACGAACAGCAGCAAGGGCAAGAAATAGGCGGACTGACGCCATCTTAGCGACCGGAGAGAATGTATCGCCATAATCAAGGCCAAAGATTTGAGTAAAACCCTTGGCAACTAGGCGTGCCTTGAGTCGATCAACATGACCATCAGGTCCAACTTTTACAGTAAACACCCAGCGACAACCAACTATAGACTTCTCTGGAGGAGCAGAAACAAGGTCCCAAGTGCCATTGGAATGAAGTGTAGTCATCTCATCAAGCATCGCTTGGCGCCACCCTGGATGGGAAAGTGCTTCACCTGTGGTTTTAGGAATAGAAATAGAAGAAAGACTAGAAACAAAGGTGAAATGAGGTGAAGAAAGACTGTCATAGCTCAAAAAGGTATAAAGAGGATAAGGGTTACGAGTAGTACGTGTACCTTTTCTTTGAGCAATAAGAAGAGCCTCTGGTGAAGGATCCGGAGGGGAAGAATCAACTGCAGGGGGCAATGAGTCAGCAGGAGTCGAGTCGACAGGAGGCACAGTTTTACGACGCTGATAAGTGATAAGTGGACGGTCCGCAGGTATTGAAGCAATAGGTTGCTTATCTGGAATAGAAGTACCTGCAGCTGGCAAAGAAAAGTCAAGAAAAGGGACAGAAAGAACATGATCAACCTGTGACAACTGAGATGGGATAGAATGAAAGGGTTGTTGATCAAGAAAAGTGACATCAGCGGAAACTAAGTAACGCTTAAGATCTGGAGAATAACAGCGATAACCCTTTTGAAGACGAGAATAACCAAGAAAAATACATTTAAAAGCTTTGGATGTTAACTTGTCCTTACCAGGGGTGAGATCATGAACAAAACAGGTACAACCAAAGACATGTGGGGATAGAGGACAGAGAGGAACATCTGGAAGCAATAAGTGATAAGGAATGTCATTATCAAGCACAGATGAAGGCATACGGTTGATGAGAAAAGAAGAGGCAAGGACTGCATCGGCCCAGAAGTGAAGAGGAACATACATGTGAATAAGAAGAGTCCGTGCAGTCTCAATGAGGTGTCTATTCTTACGTTCAGCTACTCCATTTTGTTGTGGAGTGTGAGGACAAGTAGTTTGGTGTAAAGTACCCTGTTTGGCTAAGAAATTAGAAAAGTCCACAAAAACATATTCCTTAGCATTATTACTACATAAAATACGAATAAAGGCACCAAATTGAGTATGAATTTCAGCAGAAATTTTTTGATAAATAGAAAACAACTCATAACGGTTTTTCATTAAATGGATCCAAGTACAACGAGAAAAATCATCAATAAATGTAACAAAATACCGAAAACCTAAAACAGACACACTACGACTAGGACCCCAAATATCTGAATGAATAATTGAAAAAGGAGCATCAGCTCGTTTATTGACTCGATTAGCGAAGGAGGAGCGTATGTGCTATCCTTGCTGACATGACTGACAATCTAAAGTCTGAAGACCAAACAAAAGAGGAACCATCTTCTGTAACTTGGAAAGACTAGGATGCCCGAGGCGACTGTGGATGAGTTGTGGAGATTCTGTGAGAGAACAAGCAACGGAAGGACTCGGCACAACCAGGTAGAACAGACCCCGTGACTCACAGCCCACTCCAATCGTCTTCCCCGTACCCGGGTCCTGCACAGAAACAGAATGATTTGAGGAAGTGACAATACAGTTAAGATAGTTGATCAATTTACTAACAGATATTAAATTATAAGGGATGTTAGGAATGTAATAGACAGATGTTAAGGTCAATGAGGAGGTTGGAACGATTTGTCCAATTCCATGAACAGGAGCCTTAGTGCCATCAGCAAGGGTAAAAGAGGGTAAGTTATCAGAATATGTAAGGGATGAAAAGAGTTCCTTATTACCACAGAGGTGATCAGTAGCACCTGAGTCAAATATCCAAGGGCCAAGTGATGCAGAATGAGAAACACAAGCAACGGGATTACCAGTTTCTAAAGCAGAAGCCTGAGACTGAGGAGAGACCTTTCTGAGAAGAGTCTGGAATGCTGCATAGTCTTCAGAGGAGAGAGAAACTGTACCATTTGAAGCAAAATCCGATTGAGCTATATTAGCAGCATAAGAAGGTCACAGGTAAGGGTACTTTGTGTAGCAACGTTCCTCATAATGACCAAGTTGCTGACAGTAATTACAACGAGGTCGCTGACCACGTCCGACTGGGCCTCCTGGGGCTCCTAGACCACGTCCTCCTGGGGCTCCTGGACCACGTCCTCCCGGGCCTCTACCACGACCACGTCCACCTCCAATGTTCCCGCGAAAGTCAGTACGGGAAACTAGAGCAGTAGAATCAACAGCAGAAGATGATGCAGGAGCAGATTTCTTATTCAGATTCAGAAGACGCTGATACGTCATTGAAAGATCAGGCTCCCCACTAGTCAAGATAGTATCCCAGACATTATTATATTCTTCAGGGAGGCCAGACAGTGTGGCAACCATAAAGAGGCGTTCCACCTGTTTCCGATATGCTAAGGCAACATATCCAAATATGCCTGCATCAAAGATCGACTCTTGCCAACATATGTCTCCATCTGAATGTCGGGTGATTTGCTCAGTTCCATAAACTGAGAGATGATGAAATAAAGCAACTGAACATCATTAGTGTAGAGGTTTTTTGCTTCCTGCCACACTTCAGTACAAGTTTGAAACGAATAGAAGATGTCCAAGACAACTTAATCAATAGATTTCCAGAGGATGCTCAGAAGCTGGTTGTCGATCTTTTCCCAATCAGACTTTTCCTCCTTAGGGACATCAGTAGACTTAGTCGTGAGGTGGCTCCCATGTCCTTGTCCAAAGAACCAAACTCGAACAGAGGTGGCCCAGTTCTTGTAATTAACAGAACCCTTCAATTTTGAAGAGGTAATGGACCCAACATTGGTAGAGATAATATTGGGATAATTTTCGACAAGAGGAGGTGGAGAATTGACCTCCGAATGAACAGAACCATCTGCTGCCATAATAAGAAATCAGAAAGATATAAACCGAGTAAATAGGAACGAACCTGATCACCGATCAAGAAGGGGTGCGCGCAAAAAGTCAAACCCACACCAAAACAACCACAGATCCAGAAAGAGCAGGAGAAGGCGAGCTTCTCTGTCCAAGACCGGCCGGAAAAAGCCGCCGAAAAAGGGCTCACGCCCCGGCAGAAGGTGGCGCGTGAGGCCCACGCGCAGAGGAGCTAGGAGGCGCGTGAGAGCGCGTGGGAGGTGCGTTGCTGACCGGACCTCCACAGACCTGGTCGCCGGGAAGAGACGGTCCTGATCGCGTGAAGTTTGGTCGGAAAAGTCGCCGGAAAAAGTCTCTGGTGGCCTGAACAGTGATTCTGGTGGCGGGCAGTGGTTCTGGTGGCCGTCGGAGGTGCTGACGCGTTTGGAAAAATTACTCAGAGCCTGTTTACAGCCTTAGATGGCTTGCCAGAAGGACGCACGGCAAGAAAAAGGACTCCTAAGCAGTGGACTTAGGTTTTAAAGCAAAAACAAGGTTTCTAAGCGGAAGCGAGGGTCCCCAGAACGAAAGAGCTCTGGTACCAACTTGAATATAAAGTAATATGTTGTGTATTGATCTAATTCAGAGAGTTACAATATATAGAGACTCTAATGGGCTTATATGAAAGGCCCAGACCTAATACAATCAGAATAATTACAGACTCTAATCATATCTAATCAGACTAATCATATCTAATCATATCTAATATATTCTAACACAGCCAAACATTGCTAACAAAAGCATGTCCACATGACACTGTAAATATTCAAGAAGAAATTAGTTGTTAATGTGTGTGGCTTCTGAGGAAATAATAGAACTCTTTAAGTGAGAATAAGAATCTTCACATATATATATATATATATAATATATATAAACTAATTAGAAAACTGTAGGGAGCAATATCTTAAGAGATAATTAGAAGCAGCTAAGATCTATAATATAGTTCAAAACAACCAAGGTTAGGAGGATAAGAACCAACCAGAACTTGTGCATTATAATGAGAAGAATAAGTCCAAAAAGGCCAATGGATCCCACAATTAGATAGAAGACCAAGTTAACATGTACACTAGTCTTCAATCTTTCAGACAAAGTGAAGTCCCCAGCATCTTCAAAACCCTGAATAAGGGGCACGACAGCCCTGCTTAGGACAACATAACTTAAATACGTGAGCAAATTTGCATTTCTGATCTGTAATTCTATTTAATTACTTCCTTGCAATGCTTAGTATGTAGGAAAGCATATGAAAAGATGAGAAGTAACAATAAAGCAAATTATAAATAATATACAAAATCATCCAAGTTTTACAAGTATGCAAAATAACTGATTATGTTTTGTCATTCATTACTACTAATAGATCAGTTCCATAGTAGAAAAGTGTCAACATGCATGCATGCATTACATATAGTCAAGAAATTGAATGAGAGATACCAAATTCTAGTACCAACCAGAAGAAAATAATATTGATTTAATCAGTTACGTGTTGATTAAAATCATAGACATTCACATTAAATAGTCATTTCAGCTTAATCCCATTCCACATCAGATACATGACAAAGTACATAATTCACTGACTCAAACAAGGAACCTGGAGGAAAGATTCATTGCCAAGCAAAGAGAAAGCAAAGCAACAGTAACATGATAAACAGAAGGGCACAAAAAAGCCTTGGACCATTATCCGCCATGTGGAGCTAAACTTGGCCTTTACAGAAACTCATTTGAAATAGACAAAAGGTGTTGAAAATGTTACAGACATAGTAATAAAAACTTTTACATGAAGCGTACCAAGTAAGCAAAAACGTGCTCCAATATGACCAGCTCCAAAAGAAAGAAATGCCTCCATTCTCATGGTGGGAAGATATTGTCTGTATGTGTTAAAGAAAGAACCATCATTATATGAATGAAATTATTGCACATACAATTCTTCCATAATCCAAAAATTTCTTTGTCATTTTCATTTAACATTTTAAAGTTCCAAAAATAAGCTTTTTGGAAGATGGAAATAATAAATATAATATATTATCCAAGGACATATCAAATTGAAGAAAATAGAAAAGAAATGGAAATAACAAACTTAACTACACATAAAAGGTCATATACATCTGACTTGTCCACGACATGGAGGTAGCACAGTATTTTTGTCATAAATCAGAGGCTATAATAAAGTTACACTATTTCTGGTGCTAAATAAAGTAAATCTTTCTTTGAGATTCAGATATGAAATCCAGCAGTTCAGAATTTCTCGATATCCAAGTCCTTTTGGAAGGTTAACAGGTTAAGACTCCGTCTAAGGTGAAGACTTTTTTTTTGTAGAGTGGTAATATCAAATGATCTGCGGTGGACTCGTATGCCTCATGAGCTACTTCTTCTTATGTTTTGAGTTATATGTTTTACGAGTTTAGAGATGTTGAAATTCAGCTCTATTTAGAGTCATTATTAATTAAAGGGATAAGATAATATGCCTACCATTTTTTCATGCCTACTTTTCTCCAACACCGTTAAATCACAATCTCAAGAGGAGAGAGAAAGGGTAAAGATCAGTTGAGATTGTGATCTAATGGTGTTGTAAAAGAGTAGGTAGAATAGGCATGAAAAAAGGTAGGCACAATATCATATCCCTTTAATTTATTGTATTTATTCTGCCTTTGAATATAACTAGATGTAGAGTGCTTTGTTTGTTTTAAGCCAAGCAATTCACTAGGTTGTGAACTTGTCTTTAACCCATCATATTGTACCTTCCAAGAAAAGGAATCGAAGAGGAGGATGATTGGAATTGCTAAAGAAAAGGATGGCCTCCTTGAAATGCCAAGACATGTTTTTGTAGCTGATTATAAGAGTTCCGATGATTTTCAAGGCAAATTTGGCTTTAATGCACTTACGGTTGGCCCATTGCACATGGCCCAGCCATCGATTCAAGAAGTCCGGAATCAATCAGAACTGTGGCCCAATAAGTATGGCTCAATTGTTAAAAGAAGCAGAAATTTGAAATATAACAAATTGCGATCAAATCACAGTTCAAATGAAGCAGCAGATATGATTGTGATTTATCTAGCAAGGAAAAGAAAGCAACACATTTGGCATGATTTGAGATTTAAGATTTGGGACGTGCTTTGAATGATTTAATTGCAATTATTTATTTATTTTTAGAGGTTAATTACTGTTATATTTATTTTAGGAAGTTTTATTATTTTTAGGATGTAGGATTTTTGAATTTTGGATCAATTTGTAATTAGTCTATAAAGGGGTGCTTAAGACCCTTATTTTAGGAGTTGAATATTTTGTGATTTTGATTATTATAATTGAGAACCGGAGGGTTACTCATTTGTAAAATCTCAACTTTCTGTTTAACCACTTTTTCTATGCGCTTTCGGAATCAGCTTCATCATCGTCAATTAGGTCACCCATCATTCCAAGTTGTCAAATTTTGATGTTTCCAACTTTCATTGTGAAATTTGTGAGTTTGCCAAACATAAACGTGTAACTTTTCCCATTAGCAATAATATGTGTACCTCGCCATTTGATTTGGTTCATATAGTGACATATGGAAACCATCTTCCATTCCTAATATCTCTAAAGCACGTTGGTTTGTGACATTTATTGATGATTGTATTACACTATCAAAACAATACATCAAAATTATATTATAAATCCTCCTAATTATTTAACGAATAAATTATTAAATATTTTTTTGGGTTACCAAAATTTAAGTTTCTTACAAAGTAAGCACTACTTACAAATGTCAATCAAAGAATACTAGTCATGTTTATAGTTTTAAAGGGGAAGGTTATACTTATATCCTATTTTCATTTATAACCTCTTACAATCATATCTTAACCGTTGATTTTTGCTGATCAAGGTGTTTTAACTGTATTTATGCAGAAAGGCTAACATAGATGTTATGAGGGTAAGCGCTGTCTGTTCTGCTCCACTAAAGGATAAAATAACTCACCAAAAGCAAAGAAAGCAAGGAGGGAGCTCATGCCCGGCTAAATGATTTAATTGAGTTCAGTTATTATTTTCGCAAATCAAACCCATTAATTAATTATTAATTCACAATGAATAATAATAGTTGATTGACAGAAATCAACGTTTAAGATATAGTTGTAAAAGGTTGTAAACAAAAATAGGTTGTAAGTAGAACAATTCCCCATATTTAAATCCTCCTATTTACTAAAAGAAGGAAGTATTGAATATATTTTATGTTGTTCAGATATTAAATGCGACTAACTTTCCCAGAAAGACTCATTTGTTAATCCATTCTTGTATTTAGAGCTATCACACATCAACCTAAACATGATTAACCCTCGGGATGTATGAAGAGAGCGGGAGTGTATCCTCCCATGTGAAAAAGTGGTCATGTGGTCATGTCATTTGATCACAACCACTCATTTAAAAATTATACATTATTTCATCATCAATGAGGGGTTGTGATCAAATGACATGACTACTTTCTCACATGAGAGACACATGAGAGAGGATCCACTCCCTAAGAGAGCCTTATAAAAGCAAGCTAAGCAGGCAAAGCATTCTTAAAAAGTCTGTTGAGAAACCCTAGAACACTGCATTAAATTAAACATTACGTAAACATCTAAAAAATTGAGGCGAAGAAAAATAACAATAGGAAAGCCGTGAATTGGAGAACCAAATTGGAAATGTATTAAGGAAGAAGCACACATAGAAAGGAGAAATGAGATGGTTAGTACCGCCCAAATGTCAGCAGGAACGAGGATGATGATGGAGAGGGAACAAAACCAGGTATATCCAACGGTGAAAAGCACGTAACGAGGGACGTCAGGGCCAGCGAAGTACCTCAGCGTCAATAGCACCATCCCCGTTGTGAGGGGCAAGGAGATCAGGTAAAACACCCACATATCTCTCTCTCTTTCTCTTTCTCTTTCTCTTTCTCTTTCTCCTTCTCCGTAAGGAAGAGGGAACCCCTCGACTCGTTCGATCGCGGTGAAAGTAGCAGTGACTTTCTGGTAAAGTAAACCAACTGCACCACCACCCCCCAACCCCTCTGTAGCTTCTGGGCTGCGCGCCTTACTTTTGTGTCTCCACGAGTCCACCGACTGACCTGGGCTTCTTGGGCCTGCTCTGCTTATTAATTTTAATTGAACGGGAATTTTATTTTTTTTCCTTTTCACCGTCGAATGATTAGTGTCATTTATTTACTTTTATATAATAAATTATTCATTTTATTTTAAAAATAAGATTACCTCTTTATATAAATTATTTTTCTCTGAGATATATAATTTTACCATTTGAAATTTATATGTTCCTTTTTAATTTATGTAGATATTTTTAAATTTGTTTAATTTATTAATTGATTTCATATTATATTCTTATTTGTTTGATACCTATTTTTCATATTATATTCTTATTTGTTTGTTTGATACCTATTTTTCATTTAATTGATGGAGTTAATTTCTTTTACATACATATAAAAGTGGGTGAGGCCTCATGAGAAAAACGAAGAAAAAAAAAATCAACTAATTTTTATGTATGTATAAAAAATTAATTATTTCCAGTTTGTATGAAAAGCATTAAACCTTTTACTTAGTGAATTACTATCAAATCTTAATTGTTGATTTTCATACGGTTATACTTTATTGAAAATTAATAATTAATTAATAAATATGACCTAATAAATTACAACTGTTAAATTGACGGGAATCAACGATTACGAATTAATAGTAAGAAGTAGTAAGAAAAATAAATAGTAACTATAACCTCCCATGTACTTAAATATATATTTTTATGAATAAGATTCTTTAAGAAATTTATCTTTACATATTAAATTAACGCACACTTTCTTAAAATTTATTTCATTTCTTGGTATATTTTTTCTTAAAAACTAGCATATATCATTTTTAAATTTTTTGTTTAAAATTTAAAACTTAAATTCTTTTAAATAAACAATGCGTATATTCTTTATAATTTTAAATTTTTTAGTTTAATATAATTTTTTTATAATTTTATTTGAAAGCTAATGTTATACAGATTTCCTTTATAATTTAAATATTTTATTTTAATTTATTTTTAAATGTAAAAATACTCGTACAATGAACAAAATACTTATTAATTAAAGAAAATTATTGTTACGCAATCTTTGCATGCCCATAACCCTTTAGAAGCTCTTTGCTAATTGAAAAATAACCAGACATTTACTAAAAGTATAGGGATTGTGTTATTTAGAGAACAAAATTTGGTATCTTTTGAATTCTTATTCAAAGACTTTTTTGACCCTTTTGTCCCTCATTAATTAATTAATAATAAATTTTCCCCTTCCCTAAAACTATCCATCATCCTGCCCCCATTTAGTCGATTAAGATGAATTTTTAATCGACTAAATGGTCAAAATACAGAAAATATGAAGACCGAAATTTAATCGACTAAAAATTCCTCTTAGGCAATTAAATTTAGGGGAGATTTAATCGACTAAAATTGTTATGTAGTCGATTAAATCGCGACAGAAACCCTATATTTTTCCCTTTCTTGGTCTCGTTTCAAATATTAACGATTTGTAAACCAATATCTCTCTTGTTTGTCATCTGTGATCCTTCCCATCATGATTACATTTCATCCCACCATCTCTAAAGCCTTAATATTGTGAAATCATTGTCATTCCACTTATATTCTCATTTGTTGCCCCCAAAATCTGAACTCAAACCCCCAAAATCCAAACCCTACTCCCAAATTTGTGTGAAAGATGAGCTCAAGTCCAAACATGTATGTTACAATGATCTACTATGATGAAAAGCATTATGAAGGCCCCAATGGTGTTCAATTTGAAGGAAAAACAAAAATATTGAAAATCAAACGGGGCACTATATACATTAAGCTTAAGGGGAGAATTCACCAAAAATTAGGGCTACAAGGCAGCCAATGCGTTCAGCGAATGATCGTCAGGGTAGAGTCTACAGTTGGTAAGGATGCTATATTCTACATTGGTAACGATATATGTGACGATGAAGATGTGAAATGTGTCATAGATGCAATTGTTGACCAAAAATTTCAAAATTTTATTGAGATATATGTTGAAATAGATTGTGGTCAATCTTCATCTGCACTCATGCATACAAGAAGTGAACAATATTTTGGTCAAGAAGACAGAGTCGTCGGTTTATCTGCACCTGCACTTGTCATAAGTCAGATAACACTAAGGGGAATAGATAAGGATGAGCACGAGAAGGATATGGACAGTGATGAGGACAGTGAACCTGAGAGTGTTATTCCGCTAGGTGACACCTCAGATACGGACGTAGAGGGTGATTTTGACACTGACACAAACTCAGGAAACCTAAGTTCCCAGGTTATGCCACCACTTCGTGTTGACCTGTTAGCAGTGGTAAGATAGTAATTTAAAGTATTAAATCAACAATTTATATTTGTGTTATCATTGGTACTGACGAAAAAGTTTAAATTTTGACGAAGGTTCTGAGATCGAGCCATTTTGGAACGAAAGCCCACATAATTCCTTCATTAATTGGGCCCACCTTAATGATGAGACGGAGATATTGTATGGTGACGATGACTTGCACGGTGGCTAGTAATTAGGGGATCCATTATATTTGTACCAGAAGTTTCGTAGTAAATCTGAAATGCAACATGCAGTCAAATTATATTGTATGAAGGCTCACCGTATTGCTGCAGTGGCAAAAAGTGATGAGCATAGATTTGTGATGAAGTGTCGACACCATAACGATGGTTGTCCTTGGTACGTGAGGGCATTGTTGCCGAAGAATGAAAATAATTGCGTGGTTAGTAATAGGTCTTTAAAATGATTTGACCAAGTTTTGGTTCGCCTAAACCAACGTTTTCAATCAATACGTACACGTTTTGGGAATTGAATGTCCACGTTGCTTTTTTGTGTCACAAATTATGTTCCCCAAGTCAAACTACCTTAGTTCATGAGTGTAGAGTCTCAATGAAGACTAAAAAATCCGGGAAAAAAAAAACAGAATGGGGTGCCAAAAGCAATAATTTAATCGATTAACCTGTAATGGTTTAATCGACTACAATATTTAATCGACTAAACCAGTACAAGTTAATCGATTAGATTATTGCTTTTGGCCTACGAAGCACGGACTTGCTTTTTATCTGAAAAAATACGTGTCGGACACCGACACGTTCCGACACGCTCTGACACGTGTCTGACACGTGGTCAATATTTTAAGACACGTTGACCATCCCGACACGCGATTTTGACCGTGTCGAACACGGTCAAGTGGCAAAAAAGTAAAATTTTTGAAATCAATCACCACGATCAAGCATTTTGTCGTCGTTGCCAAGAGTGCTTCGTTCTTCTTCCTCGCCTCGTTCTTCGTCTTCCTCGCGTTGCCCTCGGCCTCACTTCATTTCTAACTTGTTGTTGCAGATCCACGACTTCTGTCTCTGCTTTCCACTGCGCCGCCCCTTCTCGCTGGTTCGGTGACACGAGCTCTTTGCGCTGCCCCTTCTCGCTGGTTTGGTGACACGAGCTCGTGATGGTAGACGGCGGCTGCACTTCTCAAATCAATGAAACAATAAAATTAGGGTTTCATTTTAATTTGAGATTGGGCTTGGGGTTGGACCATTTAGTGTGGGCTAAAAGTGAACTTCAACTTTGTACTAAAAAATAATAATAAATGTGAGTCTGTGCAACAACACTTTTCTTTAATATATTTTATCTATTTTTCAAATGAATAAGATATAAAATAATATATATATATATATAGTAAAGACCCAAATTGGTCCCTGACAAAAAATGCGGTGGCCAAATTAGTCCCTAAGAAAAATAAACTCAAAAAAAAGTCCCCAACAATGTCAAACAGGTCCCACGTTAGTCCTTCTGTCAAATGAAAATTGACGGAGTGAGTGACGGTGCTGATGTGTCACGTTAAGTGACATGCGGTTGCCCACGTGGAGTGGTTGGACGACGTCGTTTGGGTAAGCTCAGCCACGTTGGACACAGAGTTCTCTTTCATACAAGAAACGTCGTCGTTTAGGGTTTAGGGTTCAACTCAAACCAGAAAGCATGGCATCGAATCGAAGGTTGAACGCATGAATTTGGGGAAAATTGATTGACGGTTTAGGAAAAATGATTGACGGTTTAGGGAAGGTGGGTGTATACTGTTCGATTTAGGGTTGAACTTTGTGTTTATGCCATGATTATGTCTTCTGGAAGGGGGAGCTTAGGTAGTTCGTTTGGGTTCAGTAGTGGAAGAAGGAAAGCTGCTCCATTATGTAAATGTGGGCTTAGTTGATCCATTATCATTGTCTTTGTAATATGTTTATATCTTTGTAGTAGGGTGGAGTGAAATGCACATTTTTAATCTGTAATATGTATGCTTCTCTGTAATGGAAAGACCACTGTTGGGATGTAATGAGATGTTGATTGTTCTTAAAATGGTTAATGTCCTTGAAATTGATTGTTCATAAAGCACAATTTGCTAAGTATTAAGTTATCTTGAAATGCCAAATAAAATGTCAAAAGATTGTATGAGCTTCTGTGGATTGAGGGAATGCCATAACAACAAGGATTGAGGGAATTAAACAGAAGGGGGGAATGAGCTGCTGTGGTAACAGCTTTTGGTGCCCCTTTGGTCTTACTGTCATGTGTCTTACTGTCATGTGTTACAGGCACTAATTTGGGTCTCGATGAATTTGTTAGGGACCTATTTGTCCAATAGGAAAAAATTACAGGGACTAAAATGGTCCTCGACCCAAATTGTGGGGGACTTATAAGGCATAAAAGGGAACCCAGAATTCAGGTATGTTTACACATGACCCCAAAATGACACAGCATACAAATATTGTAACAAGACAAGCAATGAATCAAAAAGTAGTACTGTTTGACAGTATAGAAAACAATCATGACAGTGAATACAGATAGTAACCAAACTGACATAATCTTCCAATCATTTCACATCAATGACAGCAATTCCAAACTAGTAATGACATAAGAGATTTAGTAATCCATAAAGCATATTTCATTGATATCATGACTGT